CCCCCCGGGGGCCCTTTATCATCGCGGACGCGAAACGAGATGTCGAAACGCGCCGTGGCGGAGATACGATCCGCCTTCCAGCCAGGTCGATGCGAGATGTAGAAGATACACTCTATTTTTCAGTATCTGGGTAGCACAGGTAGTCCGAACACCGAGATGCATTTAGTAACTTAAAAACATATCTGAGGTAGAAAGAAAAGTCACTTACGGTTAAGTGCCTTATGTTGTTAACAGCGGCAGCTTGTTTTTACCACGGGGAGATGTGCTTACGGATGCTCGCAATCCTTCTTGTAGCGATATTGTACCCCTTAGGTGGACAGTGTGGACAGTCGACCGATGGCAGACATCAAGAATGTTTAATGTCGACAAAAAAACTATCTTTTCTTAAGTTCTTCAAATTTTTTAATTAACACTTTATTTGAAATTTATTATTATTAGTTGTATACCAAAGTATTTATACGTAAGTAAAACGAAAGAAGAGGACATTTAATGGCAGCTTTCTTAAAAAATTTAGCAGCATTACAGTTCGACAAGTCCGATTCTGATAATCATTAAAATAATAATTAAAATTATTTTTACTTTTATCATTGTAAGTAATGATCGTTTGAATATACAAAGTTTAAAATTTGTTTCTCGTTTATAGGAGATACGAGCTATAATTTGTCGGCTTCAGGCTGATGATCGTACATTAATTTTATCGTTTCTGATCGCATAGAAATAATCTTGAAATTCCCTCTGCAATTTGATTAACAAGTAGTCATGTTACAAAAAATGAGGGAGAGAAAGAGGCGCCGATGAGCCTTTCTACCGGCGCGGCAGGTCCACTTTTTGCGACGCGCAGGTAGAAGCGTTCCTGCGGCGTGTCTTCCCTGCATTCGGTCTGCTCGATGTCACGACGTGAAATGACGTGGCGTAGTCGGGAGCTCTGCAGCAAAACTCCGCGAGAGAGAAGGAGCCGTTAACTCGAGCCGAGAAAGAGCTCGGGCCGGATTCAGGAGGAACACGAGCCGCGCGCTTTAATTACTTCTTTCGCACGACGTCGTTAATGATACCGCGATTATGATTCGGCTTTTATGGCCATTGAGAGGCACAGGCCTTGTCTGCTCCTCTCTCTCTTTCTTCTGCTCTTTCTTTCCTCCGTTTCTCGGAACGGACCATGGGAAAGAGAAGCTCTCTTTCTCTTATCGACTTCTAAGACTTCCTCTCGTCATTTTCCTCGTCATCCAATTTCTAATCTTGGAAATCGGATTCGTAGAAGAAAATTGACATCTTCTATGATTTAAGATAATTAAAATTTATGGCGCGTGCGAATGCGCGATATTCTATAGATCCATAAATCCATTGATGTATAGATGACCGATGAGGCGAGATCCGCCTTGTCGGACAATTTAGAACGCGCTACAGAGTGATAGATGATCGAATTCTCGAAATAATCTACTCAATATAATCATCTTAAATACAATTGTATGTACAGAAAAAATCTTAAATCAAGATTGTATATTCTCATATATATGGAAGAATATTACAATCTTCTTAGAAAAATTTTAGCATTGCAAGTATATATATTTTTATATATAAGCAACAATATTATAATCTTCAAAAGATTTTTAATTTTGAGTTGAGCAAAAATAATACTTGCATCAATAAAAATTTATCAAGATTAAAATTTTGAGAAAAGTTATGATATTCTTACTTATAGAGAATATTTTTCTTGATTTTTTAAGATTTATTTTCTCTGTGTGGAAAAATAAGAAAATTATGAGCGATATTAATAAAAATTTTTATGGAAAATATAAAGTTATTTATATTTTTGTGTACTAATATTATTTACAAGACGATCGTATATTTCGAAAATATTTTATTCTTTTGTCTACTTTTGATTTACGTTAAAATGCTCATGTTAAATGAACGATAGAGAATGATCTAATTAGAAGCTGGACCGTTACCCGCGATCGTTCCGGCCGTCCTTTCTGTTTATGTGGATTTATGGTACTTACATCGAAAGCGAGCGACGGAGTGACGCGGGCGGCTCGTTCGTTTGCGTAATGCGAAACGGTGATCGACTAGTAGCCTCTCGGTTTGCACACCATATGGCGTCAGCCAGGCAGCGAATCACGGCCTCCGTGCCTCGTCGGCCGCAAACGAGATGCCCTTTTTACGTCGGATTCCTTTTTCCCATCTGTCCCTCTCCCGCTGTTCTTCCGCGCCGACTGGAAGAAGGGCGAGAAACTCGAGTGAATTTTCGGTGGTGCGGATTCGCTTCTAATTGTCAAACGTTCGCCGCACAGTTTAGAAATGCGTACCTGAAATATTTCGCTATTAAGAGCATAAATATTTCGTGTTGTATCGATACTTATATAAGTGCCATTTTAAAATTTGATTTAATTAATTAATAAATAAAACGAAAATTTAATTCCTTAAATATATTTAAGGAACTTTTTTTTTTAAATACGCTTATAAATTTCTACATTCCATTTAGATTAATGTTAGATTAATGTTACCCAACTTTATTTGGTGAAAAGATACTACGTTGGTCTTTTATATGAAACGCCATATGGCGTTCATCATTCGAGAGAAGAGAGGAGAAGGCAGGAATTCAATCGGCCATTTCGCAGATTAGAAATTTCAATCTCACGAAATGAATTCTCGCAGTCCATCCTTAATTCATCTGTTTCTTGCGAAGTGAGAGCTCCGCGACGCTAATCGCCGCACACGCGGAGAGGACTTTGATTATCGACCCGCGGGACGTGTAATTGGCCGGGGAGATCGTTAGCGCTTGTACGAGACTCGAGACCGGTAATTTCTTTCGCGATCGCTCGTGAATTATTGCGCCTTCGCTCGCAGAATCCCGCGTCGTGGCCGTCTTAATACGGCGAGGCCGTGGAATCACGCCCGACCGACGGAGAGGGACGTTTCCGGTGTTTAGGAGGATCATTCTGGCCCCGGTAATCACCACCTGCCACCGCTAATTGCCAGCATTTCGAACCGCCCCGAGTGTCCGATATGTTTCGACGATAATATTTGTCCGACACCAGCTTGCGCGTAGTTTCCACGCCGATTGCTCACCTGTGATCTTCACGCTGTTAAATGTACGAGACGCGGTACTTTAATAGCGTCGACTTCCCAACGAGAGAAGCTGGAGCAACTTTGCGTTAACTTAGTGGTTAATTTATGGTTTTTATTTATTAATACCTTTTTAATTTTTCGGAGCTAGATGGCCAGGTGGACAAGGGTGGCAAAATTGGTTACACGAAAATTCCGCAATAATGTATTGCGCGGATAAACGCGTTTAGACTTACACTTATTTATACGTAAATATTATATTTAACAATTTTCTGGATGTATAGTTTCAGATTATTCGTATCAATAATACTGCTTTGTTTAGTGGAAGTAGATCTTTGAGATTACGATATAAGGTGGAAGCTAGAAAACCATCGTCGGTTGATATGCAACGCGTTAAGCCGACGTCGTGTAACACGTTTTTCGTCCCGTGGTGATGTTAATCACTGCTCGTCCATGAAATGCGAAGCGAACGTCAGACGACCGACCGATCGACCGACCGACCGACCGACCGACCGACCGATCGACCGACTCGCTGTTGCACCTGCGACGTGACCAGATCTATCTCTTTGTCCTCGAGTGTCAAAGCATATTTTGAACAATCTTTCTGATTTTCTAAGCGAGAAGATATGTGATTTTTCTTTCATTCAATTTTTCTTGCAAATTTTTGCAAATTGAAACGTCAAATTATCTCTCTTCATATTATCACATAAAATTCTTCTTTCTTTCTGACAAGAATCTAATTGTATGCTTAGTGGGATTTATATGATGCACTTTGTTAATTGTAAATTGTTACTTTTGTTCTGCTCTCGTGGTAATGAATTTTAATAACGAGTCTTTCAATGAAATTAATATTGACCTTCCTTAAAATATCTTCAAGTACTACTTGTCGAAATACGATCGTGTCGATCTTGAATCGACTTACAGGCGAGGGCATTTTCGGACAGCCGTGCGATAATTATTTTCAACGGGCCATTTGTCGAGCCCTTTCCTTGTCTCAATTCGCGATCATTAACATCTCTATCTGCCGATCTACGAGCGCAAACTCTTGGGCGCATCAGGTGCACAACGCGGGGGGAAAGAGGGCACTAGGTAGGATGGCAACGGCACATCCTACCGTGAATGCTCGTATGCCCGGGCAGGTGGATGTGTGTGGATATGTGTGCACGTTCAGCGTGTTCACGCTCGCGAGTGCAAACAGCCGGAATGCTTAAGCACGCGCCGGAACCGGAAGCTGCTGGGTGAGCACGCGAGCAGCGCTGCACTTCGTGCACCGTCAGGTGCTACGGCGCAGGAAATTAGGGTGAAACGCTTCGCGATGGAGGTAGGAGCGGAGGGGGATGAAACAGGGGCGCGACAGCGAAATTTGCATTAACAAGCCTGCCGGGGCGAGCGCGCATTACCTCGCAACAACCAATCGATCCGCGATCTCGAAAGTCGCATACTCTCATATGCATTCAGGTGCGCGTAATTACGCCTCGATAAGGTGTTACTGGGACAAGTTGTATCCCGAACTTTAAGGGGAAATGATGAAGTATCTTGATAGCTATACATTCTTGTAGAACACAGAAAAAAGTTAGTCTTAAATAAAGACTATATATTCTCATATATAACTAAGAATATTCTAATTTACAATTAGAAAAATTTTAGTCTTATTTTGATTGAATCTGTATTGCAAATATAGATGTTTTCATATATAAGAAAGAATATTATAATCTTCATATAAAAGATTTTTAGTTTTGAATTAAGCAGTAAATAATATTTGCATCGAGTACAAGTTCAATCAAATCAAGACTGAAATTTTTAAGAAGATTATACTATACGAGAATGTGCCTTGATTTAAGACTAATTTTTTTTCTATGAATACTGAAATAAAATGTTTTGTCCATTAAAAGTATTTTCACATTATTTAAATATTTATTTTGATAATCGCTCTTTAATACATATAAAAGTTACATATAAAAGTAACATTAATCTTAAAAAAATCAAGTTGTCCCTTTAGGAAAATTCTATTCATAGTTATGCCGAAAGAAGGAGAAAATTTGTTATTCAAAAAAACCAACAAACTTTAATTCGTGCATAATTTTTAATTTATATTCAGTATCGCGGCAATTAATTGATTGACTTATAATATCCTGCATTTTATTGACACATTAATTCTGCAGACGAGCAATGCATCTTCGTCATAAAGTCAACAGTGAGTAATTATCGCGCGGAGTTATCTCAAGTTTGAACGGCGCAAAAAGCACCAGCTGCAACTCAAGTGAAATTCTTTCTGCGGGAACCAGTGGCAACGCACACTTGATCAGAGTTGGGTGCTCCTTACGGGTCGTTCACGCGCGAACGTGTATTCCTCCAAGGCGTCTCGGGCAGATCCGGAATTGGTTCCCGGTGTAAACACCTGTACGCTTAATAATCGGGAATTTCTGGCGATTATCGAGCGCCAGGCGGGCTCTGGTCGCTTTCGTTGTGCGTTGTTGCTCGGCACATTCACTCTTCTCGTCTTGCCTCATTACATTGCTACACAGCGCGAGTGTACAGGTACAGGTGTTGCCTTTTAATTACCAGAAGGTGCACAGAAGCAGGTATCGTTTACGCGGAAGTTGTTCTTTTCTTGGAGACTTTCCTTTTTATACAAAGATAAATAAGGAAAAACAACATTAGAGCAAATAAGATTATATATAAATATAAATATTTTAATAAATACATACAAAGTCTATTTATTATCTCAGATATCAACTGTGTCACTCATATTAGTACATGGGAAAAATAGTTTGGTTATATCAAAATACTTTTTTTAAAATGGACGAATCAGAAATTCCAATTGAAGTTATGAGAATTCAATTTAAAGTAATGAGACTTGTCGTGAATTCAACGAACTTTTGATTGATTTAGAAATCTGATAATTTTAATTGGAATTTCTGATTTGTTTATTTTTAATCGGAATTTTTTTCTGTATAAACTTTTTTTAAATTTTTTTCTATAAAAATTAGAATGAAATGTATAAGATATGTCGAAAACATTGTATTTTCTGCAATCTATCTTACTCCTAATAAGATAGATATGTCAGAATCAATAAGATACATAAAAATTATTTGTCAATTTTATAGGTAAAATTTAACTAAATTTTCAAATTTAACTATTGCATTTGTCTCTATCACATTGGTATTCATTCACGTATATTTGACATAAAAAGGTCTAATGAAAATAATCCCGTTTTTCTCGTCGATCATAGGAGCAGGTTGCACTCGCAGAGATACTACGGCGATATCGCGCCTATCGATCCGCTATAAATTCCCCGAGCACACGTCGCGGGTTCGAAATTATTCGACGTTTTAATGGCACGGCCCGGACGATATCGATGCCCGGTGAACATCGGCCGGATGTGGGTCAGATGTCATGTGGGCGACCTCTATAAACGGCGCCGGCCGTCGCGCACAAAAGCCACAATGCGGCGGCACGGCGGCAAGCCGAAAAGCCGTGTCGCTCGTGTTATATATAATATACACGAAACGCGCGTGTGACTCGTCGCAGGTGAACACGGGCGAGCTTCACCTGGCGCGTGCCAACTGTCTAATTAATGACAATCGCCGTGTGCGAGCGAGAGAACTGCCGCCTCTATTCATATATACGCGCGCAATTTGCCCGCCTATGCACGTAGCCGGTAATACCCGGGTCCGGCTTATCGATCTCTGCCGTGATGTTGTGAGATATCGGCCCAATTGGCCGTCCCTAGAGAAGGAGACGCGTGCCGCGCGTAAGGATTACATCGCGCGCGAATTTACATGAGAATCGCGCGAGCGTGCCGCGCGCGTTCGCGTTAACGTCCAGTTGCGCGCGAAGAGAATTGCGAGTCGATTTTGAGGATCAAAGATAAGAGAAAAACGTCGTATTTTTTTCTAGAAATTATTTAAATTAAATAAAATTTAATTTAAATTAAATAAATGAGAAAAAAATTGAATTTTTATCTTAATAGAGATCCTTATTTAGAGGATTTAACAGTAAGTTGAATTTTGAATTTTTTAAAATCTTCTTATCAAAGAGAAATTGAGAGAAGAAGAGTTCAACGTTATTTAATATCTAAACGATACTTTTCCAATGATGTCTCATTTCAGTTTTCGATTTCTGTGATTCTTTAATCATCACGCACGGCCAGCTTGACCGACCGTCCGTATCCCTGCGGGCAATGTTTGTAATTGATCGAGGATTTTTCGTTTTCGCGGCGCGATCGTTCGGTAGTGCAAGTTACGCGATCGATTCGATTTGGCCGTGCATATCGATCGCCGACATGCATCGTATCCCCGCGAGCAGTCGGTAGGCGGAGATGAACCTGTAATGCACCGAGGAGCGTGGGACCGCTATGCGGGGAAAAGTATACTCTTCCTCGCGGATGAAATCGCGCGTAGCGCTACCGCATGATTGAATCGACTTCTTGGCATCGGCGGACGAGGATCTTTTGCATTCGGTGTGAGCAATTATATAAAAGATATGTATCTTGACTTCTCTCTGAGGATAATCTAATATAACATAATATAACATTTATTTTCAGTAATTCTTTTCCGTACCATCTTGAATTAATTTGAATCATTTCTGTCGCCCCCATTTTTTTATATGATTATAATTATATCACGCTATGATGTTTTTACTTTTTTTAGAAAAAGAATGAGAACAGTTATACATAGGTGATGGTAGGGTTGCTAGCTGCACGGCGTCGTTTTTTTTTTGTCATAGCAATACATCTCAGGATAAAGAACATTTTACAGAAGATAAAAAGACACTGTGTTAGAAAACAAATTAGAATTTTTCATAGAATTATTTCATAATATTTTTCATAATAATAATTCTATGATTGAATTTTAATCATCCATCACTATAATACCAATTATTCGTCGTATAAAAAATTAAGAGTTGCATGAAAAATGTATAATGACTTTATGATTACTTGCAACACGACGAGGAAAGATATTTTAGTTTTCCAGAGAACAAATCGAGGAATGTCTGAGACTCGCAAGAGCTCCGCAAGAAAAAAAAGCAAAGAAGGAACGAGCCCGTAGAAATTACAGAAGACCGCGGCGGGGCACGAGATTACTCGTGATGCCTGAAACACAGAAATGGGCGCGAGGAGGGCCCGTTGCGTCCCCTCTTTCTTTCTACCTGTAGGTTCGCGTGATGACGGCGTGTGCCCGCGGGGGTGTTCGATTCTCCTCGAGAGTCGTGGATCGCGTGCGAGTCTCGCAGCTGGAGAGGAAAGAGGAAGAAAGTCCGAGCCGGGAGTTTATCGCGGGGCCCCCGGGGGCACGCGGGGCCCGCTCGCAACGTGCACCTTAAACGTGGGCGGAACGGCAGGGGCGCCCCCGGGGTGTTTCTCACCCGCATACCTGACGTACGTGCTAGCCACCTTCTCATCCTCCTCCCCCTCCCCCTTCTTCTGCTTCGACTCATCCTCTCCATTACCATTCCGGCTTCTTGATCCTTTCCTTCCGTCTCCTCATCTTCTTTTTGGATCGTCATCAGCATCTCTTTCTTTTCGCTCAGGAAACGCGCTCGTGCTTGTACGAGATAAGAATCCTTGATATAAGGGATCACCCTTTTATTTCTACTTGAAGATTCCTTAAGAATGGAATTAGAGAGTACTGAGAATATAATGTATGAGAGAAAGTAGAAATATATGAAATATTGCGCTACGCGTAGACATAGAAATACCATTACGTCCGACCCATAAAATTAAACATTATTAATTATATGAATTTATTATAATTCGCGTTCGTGTCTCGTATATTTTATGCGCATTCCAACGAGATAAGCGCGAGCCATCACGCTGATGAGAGTTAATTTTCGCAGCGACCGTTCTATTCGAGAATAACGAAGTCCGGTCACTCAGAAGAGTCCAATTTGTTCACGGCGCGGAATCCGGCGTGAGATCCGTTATCGAGCGGTCCGAGATTTTTTTCCATAGACACGAAAGCCGCGGTGCCGCCACCGACGCCGCCGCATTCCCGTGAAATTATTGCCTACTGGTAAACTCTCGGACCTTCTGTCGGCCGATGTCGAGTATCTCGGGATTGAAATCGTAGAGAAGTGGCAGGGAGAAGGAATGGGCATAGAACTTTGGTCCCACGACAAAGAACAGAGGATGTCAAAGGACCATTCACATTGTAAAAGATGTAATAATGTCTTAGGTATCCATGAACAGAGAAATTTTAATTAGAAAGAAGTGTTAAGATTTTTTTTTCATTAATATTCTTTAATGCAAATTTTACGTTTAAGATGAGCATGATTGAGATCGTGAAGCTATCGAGATAAAATTGAGGAGTTGAAAATCATAGTGGTATAAGTTAAAAATTTTGAAACGTGATTTGTTTTTACATTTCTCTTCTTTTTTATGGATTACATTTATCCTCTATTTTTCAATTTTTTGAAACAATTAAAAATGTGTTGACGCATTTAAATTGATCAAAGAAAATACATTGAGTTTTTGAGTGCAAGTTTTTTGATTAAAACGATATCATTCTTAATTTTCTTCTTGATTTTCAATCCCCTAATAGAAATTCAATTCCCTCAAAAGATGTACTCGTAGACGAAAACGTTTTATTCTTCGTATGAATCTCTCCGTGTCTTTTTGTGAAATTTTCATACAACTCTCGATGAACGATCGCAACGTTTTAACGACAGTTGTTTCTCCTATAATTACTATTTCGTGGCTGCTATTGCAATCAATTTATAATGATTTCGCGGAAACTATTTGGGGATTGTAAACGACGCGGGAATCGTCCCGATCGACTCCGACGCAATTCTAATGAGGGAACCTCAGCTTTTAATAAGTTCCTAAGAAAAATTCCGACGGCTGTTCTACGGCCGCGCGCGATCCCGTCGACTGTATGCTGCCCCGAGGACGTTCCCATGAGTCGGGGGCGGCCACGCCGACGCTTTCGTAGGCTCTGGAAGATGCTGAGTCCGAGAGAGCACCCGGGGGCGATGCCATGTTCCACCTCGTGAACGGTGCGTGCAACACACACACACACACACACACACACACACACACACACACACACACACACACACACACACACACACACACACACACACACGCATACATATCGCGCGCTCTCGCAAACACGTTATTACGCGAACCCTTAATAACCCAGTGCGAGAGTTAACCTCTGCCTCTTTCTCTCTCTCCGTCTGTCTTCAGCTCGGGGAGATTTCTACTTCCTCTCGCTTCGATCCCAACTATCGCGGATTAGCTGTTCCTCCAGCACCGCGCACGGTAGCCAGTTGTCTCGATGCAACCTCTGACACATCTCTTGCGGTTTTATCGTCAGTACGACGAAGCTCAATCTGCATTAAGAGGAAATAGGAAAATGATTCATTTACCATTATGTTAGTGTGCATCAATAACTGTTTCGTGAGACTTGACGATAAACAATGATTGTGTGATTTCTTCATTTACAAGAAATTTACGATTTCTTCATTTTACAAGAATTTTGATAATTGCAACAAGTGCGTTATACAAAAGATACAAATAAAATTTCTCTTAAAATCAAAGTTTATGGATATTCATATTTCAGTAATATCTCATTTTTATGAACGAAGAATTTTAACAACAATGAATTATTGTTCAAAATTTATTAAAGGAGCACGTAATGATTTTGAGTCTTGGTATTGTTCTTTAAAAATATTAATGAAGAATTAATTTGTAGAATTTGTAATGTTTCCATGTACATGATCAAGGCATTAGGGGAATGTGAATCGTTTCACCGCCAGTGAACGCGCCTCATCGCGTCACGTTCGCGCCTCGGCGAATATTGAGCGACGAAGTCGCGAAGGGGCGAACCAGGAAGTGATGCGAGACAAGAAGTTCTCGACCTTCATGTCATCAGATCAATGTCGGTAGAAGGCATCGCGCGCTTGTTTTTTTATCACTCGCAACGTTTTCGTCAAAATAAAGTTTATCCTTTATCCTAAATCATAAATTCTTACTATCATATAAATTTATTGATAATTAAATATTTTATTTTATTTTTCAAATAAAAGTAACGCAAGTTTTTTTATGTTTCCTGACATTTTAACAATGGATGGTACAACGATCAAACTTGACGTACGCTCATTTGATGAAATCTGTTATCATGACCGGACGGGAATCGTGACATAAATGACAGTCGTAACTTTACGCAATATAGAGATGAAAATGAAAATGGGCAATATCCCGCGTTTTCGTGGTAACGCGTCGAATGTTTACGGCAGCGTTTCGCTATCGATTGCCGCAGCTGGCGCGTTGCTGCTCAGTCATCCCGGACTGGCGCGTCCGAGGACTCTGCATCTAACATCCCGCGAATTTCGGTATTAGGACCGTATGAAGCCCGGTCGAGTGCTCGACGAACGACGCTGGGAGCGGCGCGCGACGACGACGGCGGGTACGACGTCCTCCAGAGCCGGCGACCGGAATAACGCCGGCTCTCTCGTTGACGCGCACGACGTCGTATTCACATTAGTAGGATCCCCCGACACGCCGGAGGTGTTTTCGGCTGTCGGCCGACATGGTGAGATAGTCCGGCGGATTATCATGCGCGTGCATGTCGACAAAGGAAGTTTAGCTTGTAAAGCTGATTAAACCTTAGTTAATCACAACCGAGCAGGCCGACATGACGCGATTGGAGGTGTACGCCTACCCCCAGCCGGCCGCGGCGTTATCCCGCTCTCGCGATAGGGGCGTTCACCATCTCCCGCTCCGGAGGTTCTTCCCCACAGCTTCTCCCGTACGCGTGCGCCTGTCACCGCTTTCTTCGTGTACCACTTCCCTATCCTTCGCGCGGTAAATCTCGACTTCTCGAGCACATGTTCCCCCGATAATGGCTCGTGCGAGCGGGCGGTCCCGCGCGGTAAACCGACGAGTGTGCCGAACGCTCCGCGCCGCTCATGTTCGCCCGCTGCGCGCGACATAGCAACTGAATTCGGTGCTGCAGTCCGCGAATTCCGGAGATTCTACCGTCATACCGAACGGCCACGCGCGCCGGTACTCTCCCGGTATTACGTGCGTACGTGCATGCGTGCGTGCGTGCGGCGAGCTCCTCCGTTTCCTCCGTTTGCGCGACGTCGTCCGCGAGCGGCGGATTTTCCCTCCCAATCCGTTTCCGTGTCCATTCCGGAGAACGAGAGACGGAAGGAGAGACGGGCATTGAACGCCGGCGCGCGGCGTCGCGAAGCTTCGCTGCTCTCGGCGAGGACGAGATTAGATAGATCTGACGGTCGGTGGAAATAATTAAATCCCCGAGAGCGAAATTACTCGACTTGTCCGAGGGAAAATTCCCGAAACTGTCGTTCCATTTCTGACACTGACTCATTTAGAACGCTGGACTGCCGAGATATAACTGATGCACACGAGATGGAGGATCGAGCATGGGTCTCTCTTCGCGCGCGTCCCAGCGCGATGACGCGGTGGAACGCGAGCGGGTTGCGGAAGTGCGACGGAGAGGGAGCGAGTTGCGCGCGGGAACGACGGAGACGGAAGTATAGATTAAATCTCCTCGTGCAGCTGATCTCCTGGTACCTCGGCGCAGCGCCGCAGCGCCACGCGTCACGGCGAGCACCATCGCAACGCGCGGCGCCTTTACGCCGGCCACCGCGACGCGGCTACGCCGTGGCGCTTTGACTCCTTTCTGCCATCGTCGCGACCATCGTCGCGATGCCGCGCGACGGCGCTGATCGTCCTTCTCCTACCGTCGTGTCGAGCGACCAGCATCGTCCGGCATGAGGATGGATGTGAGACGGGCACACAGCGGTGTGCCAAGATGTTCAAGTACCTCAGTCTAACTTCCGGCCCGAAAATTTCACGCAAATAAAAATTGATCTTGAATCACTCAAAATCCATTTTAGACAATCTAATTCATCTCGGATTTCAAGATAGAATTTTATTTTATGTATTAATAATTAATAAATAAATATGAAAGGAAAATCAAGAAATATAAATATTTAAAGAGAATCAAGAGATATAAATATAAAAAAAAGTATATATAAAAAGTATATATAATTGAAATTACACACATGCGATAAAATATAAATACGGCATATAAATAAAATTTTAAAATGCTAATTATAGACTGTCTAAATTAAGATGAATTGAACGATCAATTGAATATTTTTGTAAAACTTACATTCGAGAGATAAACTTATTCTTGGTTTAGTTATATAAATTTTGTTTCATAGAATTTTAATTCAGATCTTTCAATCAGTTTTGATCTTTGTAAATTTAGTCTATTAATTTTATGATTCATAAAAAGATTTTCTTGTTTTTGTTGAGTTTACTTTTAGTGTATAATATCATGATTTAAAAAAAGGCAATGATTCGGTTACGTTCATTCATTTATCCAACATTTGACGCCACCTTTTGGTCAGAAAATATACGAAGAAGCAACAGTTGTTGTACAGCAACAATGTTGCTGTATGTTGAGTGAGATGTCTTCATGGTAGATGGCAATAGTGATGAAATTGTACCTCTTTACCAACATAAAGTTCTAAAGTTCTAGATCTAAAGTTCTAAAGTTTTAAATCACTAATTAGTTAAATACTATGCTAATATTGTTAACTATTATTTCAGAATATTCATCATTGATATCAACTATACTTTTATTAATAATAGTATTAAATATAAATAATTACGTATTTTAAAAATCACGTTCTTCCCGTGACTCGTAAAGATCAGAACAGTGGAATATTGTCATAATTTGTCTAATATTTTAACATTATTAATTTTCTACATTGATATCAATAATGATAATGTATAATTTTAATAATCTTTTTATGTTAGTTTATTCTTGAAGTTAATATTATAGTTAATATTATTAAAAGATATTTTATATGCATTTGCTAAAAATATATTTATTTATAAATCTAACTAATCATATCGAGTGTACATATACTGATACATACCCCTGTATCTTTATTTTTTTATGTAAAAAATCGTGCGAAATTATTACACTATACTGATACAAAATAAGTGTAAAACACACTCAATTACTTCTACATTATTCAATCCTGAACTTGGCAAAACTAAGAAAGCGAAACTAAGATTTTAATTCGATATAATTATAAAATGATAGAAATTATAAAAAAATCATTAATTTTATTATTACGTAAAAGATGTCTTTCTCATGCTACTTTAAAAAACATAAAATATTAAGCTATAATAAATTACATCAATTTTGTTAATTAAAAACCTTATTCTAAATCTTTATGCCAAAAATTATAAGGCAGTGAAAAATGTTTTATTCACTACTGCCAAGCTAAGAGATATTCATCGATAGTTCTAAAATCCAAAGATAATAAAAACGAATATTGTCCCGTTTGGAATAAATCGTGTCGCAATAAATCGACACTTTTATCGCCGCATTTGATTTGCAATCTCCTAGCGAAATCTCGAAATCGTTACGAAATCGTTTTGCTTTTAAGGGGAACCGATTCGGGACCATCTTCGACGATGGCGCCGTTTTTCTTCGTGTTGCTACCGGGCGAATTCCAACTTTGTAACTTGCCAGTACCGAAAATAGCGAATGTCAATGCGCCGATGAAGTAGATGATTGCCAAAATCCAAAAGATCATGCTCCACTGCGCATAGATTTGATTCTTGTACGTGATTTGTCCAACCATGTGGCTGCTAAGAAAACCGCCCAGTGAGCTGAAAGTGTTGGCGATACCGAATATGGTCCCGGAGAAATTAGGCGCGATGTCGAGTCCGTTCCCGAGATACCCGGCTGTTACGCCACCATTTATTGTTAGAGCGACGGTAAATATGGCGACCGACGCCGCGCGATTGCAACCATAGTACGCTTGGATCACCATAAGGATGCTGGGAGTTAACTCAGCTGGAAAATCGAAATCTTTTATCATATCAAAAATATCTTCTAGTTATAAGAAAGTCAATATTTATTAATTTACATAATTAATAATAATAATAATAATAATAATAATAATAATAATAATAATAATAATAATAATAATAATAATAATAATAATAATAATATACAACACTATACTATTATTGTGTGTGTGTGTGTGTGTGTGTGTGTGTGTGTGTGTGTGTGTGTGTGTGTGTGTGTGGTGTGTGCAAATTATATATATTAAGTTTTATACAAGCTGTTTAATTAGAAAATTTAATATAATTAATAATTAGAAAATTAATTATAATATTAATAATAATTAGAAAATTTAATTTTGTCATCGTAGTTAAGCAAAAGAAAAATAAATAAATTCGAAAATATTCGCGAACATTTTACTTACCAAATATTGTGAAAATTTTGCGTATCGTGGTCACTGATAATTTGTTAGTGCGAAGCAAATAATCAGCTAAAGTGGACATTGATAAAGAAAATAAGTATTTGCCTAAATAGGGTAATGATGATAACAGTCCGTTCTGTAAAAAAACATTTTCGTATTTAATATGTATCCATCAATATTTTATTTTGTGAAAAAAATTGTTTTTTACTAATACTAATTGATGATATGTACCTCTTTAATGTTAAAGTGCAAGATGTACTTCATATAAGTTGGAAGTTGATTGACAATAGTGAAATAACAGAAGACGCTGCACGCGTGCGTTATCACGATAGCCCAGACGGGTGCTGATGTGAGCATCGAACGCCACGGTATCGGTAGATGCTGCAGTAGAAGAGTATTACATTAGTAATTCATAATAAATATTGATCAAGATCTCATGGAGAATAAGTAAAGTGATGTTTCGTTAACCGGGAGCAACTGGCAAACAAATCTTTTTCAATTTAGACTATCTGCTATCTGCTGATTTTTAAAATTTTAAAATAGACTAAAATGGAATAATGAAGCAGTCAAACAGTGAAGTAGTAAAATAATAAAGATAAATATTTTAGAGAAATATTTTCTACTACAACCTTCATGGTAGTGGTCGTTCCGATTGAGCTCTCGATAAAGTTCCGCTCCTCCGCATTGATGCGCGGATGCTGCGACGGCGAGTCAAACACCAGCAAGAACCATGTCACGCTCCATATAATCCCGATCACGCCGGTCACATAGAACACCGACTCCCAGCCGAGCGAGGCGATGAGGAATCCGCACAACGGCATAGTTATCGCGGCGCCGAGCGACGAGGCTGCAAGTAACGATGCAAGTTTATGGTGCGGCGCTTGATGCAGTCGTGCATCCGTCGCGACCATAAAACGGTTGCGTCTATCTATCTATCTATTTCGCGTATACGTTTCGCAGTTTCTTAAGAGCACGAGAGAGGTATTGCGGCATTGAGGTCGGCCTGAATTTCGCATGACGAATTAGATCATGATCATTTACCCATCATGTTAGAGACGAACTTGCTACGCTCCGTCGGTGGAATCCATCGAGCAGTCATTGGCTGGATGGCAGGCCAGGTGGCACCCTGATTTGCGAGACGAATAAATTTTGAGAGATTTTCAATAATCAATGTGAATTGTGTGATCGTTTGATCGCAGTCGTGTATGAAACTTGATTGAACGTAACTTGGATTACGTAAATTGGACAAGAGAGAGATGCTCGATAGATTCAGACGTTAGAATTGTCTATCTGATCGTTTCTCGTGAGAAACGCGGACGCGTACTTTTTCTTTTCCGTTTTTTTTTTTTTTTTTTTTTTTTTAATTATAATGATTCCTGAATGAAGTAGCGAAGTACGTACCAGTAGGAATCCTAGTATGATTCTCAATGCGATGAGCATGGGATAGTCGAAGGTGGCGGCTAACGGTGTCAGCAGAGTGAGAAAGCTCGATAGCAGCATGCTGTAGCCAAAGACCCGTTTGGTGCCGATTATCTCCGCGAGTCGACCGCCTGGTATCTCCGTAAAGATGTAACCCCAATAAAAACAGCCGATGATCAGATTCACCTCATATTCGTTCCACGAATACTTAGTCTGGGCTCGTTCTTCCTGGGATTAAAAACCAAGGTATTCGTGAAAGATAAACCCGCAAGAAATGAAGAAACAAAGATTGATATGCGCGTATACGTGCATGTATAAAAGAAAAAAAATCATATGGATCAGTCTTAAGGTAATTATCAATAAAAATGAGAGAGAAATCGCGAAATCGAATAAGAGAAGATAATCCTAACGATCGATCAAAACGAAATGATTTTAGACTCTGAAAAAATTGCGATTAAACTACGTCGATTTGGCGTCTATATAAGATCACGTTCATGCGTTGCGTAACTATTTGCGATTACTGAGGTCATTAACCGGGCAAGTTCGGCTTTATGCGAGTTTCAACGAACACGGTGCCAGTGTGAGAAACGCTGATGCGAGCATGGTGCCGTTGTTCACCTCGTTGACTCTATTAATGTTGACGTTGGCCGCCGGGGTCCTGATGTCGTCGATCGGGGTGAGGTCGTTCATCATCGTCGCCTGGAGACCGCATTCGTCCAACAACGCCGATTCGTTGGAATGCGAATGTTGATCGCTACTGTTGCTCGGTGCCACCATCGCTACAATCGCTATCATCAGATTCACGCGTAGCATATAATTCAACATGAAGCCGAGAATTACCATAATATTCAGTACCTGCCTGCATGAGAGACAATCTGGAAAAATATTTGTGGTCATTCGTTTCGCGGTTTTGTGGCCTCACGATTCGAAATCGGTCGCAAACGTTTCGGTCCATGCATTAAATTGATGCAGAGTAATGGTCGATTTTATTTTTCGTTTCGATTTTATTTAACGTTTCTATTTTTTTGCTATGAATTGTGAAATAGAATATTTATGTCTTCGATAATATGAAATAAAATATGCAAAAATATTATAATATTATATTTGAATATGTATACAAAAGAAAGAAGAAATGTCTTATAAAATCAGTACTTTTTTTATTTAAAATACTGACTTTGGAAATTTGTTCGAGATACTTATAAAATAATCAAAGAAAATCATAAAATTACACAACAACTCTCTTATAGATCTTTACGTAACAATTTTTTCTGTAATTTTATATACTATTTTAACGAAACTTGGTTTAGTACTTTATATTTATTCAATTTTTTACGATACCTTTTTTAAAAAAATATAGATATATTTTAAAGATTATGGGTAGTTAATATGTGAAAATCCAGGAAAGGCTACATTTTTCTTGATTTCTTCTCACATGTTGTTAGTCAATTTTATTTACATCGTTGACATTGTTACTGACATTATTGTTTTGTCTAATTATGACATTTCTTTTACACAGTTACACTGTCTGACAAAGTCCTGTCGAAAACAAGACGTACTTATATATGTGACTAGCGAGCGTCACATGTCCCAAGTGCCGTAAACAATTTTTACGTAACGTCAGCACGCAATCCATATAACTACGTATAGTTTCGGTCCATTATTGATTTCGATGCCTATTACTTAAGACCGGAGTCATCTCGAGGTCACTTCGTTGGGGATTCCGGAAATTACAGCGCGCGAGGTCACGCCTTCAGTCGAGCTCCACATTATCACAAATTATCACATTATCACCCGAGTCCCGAATTATTATGCAGCTACGCAAATGTCTTTCGCTTGCAGCGCGTATCAGGCAGAATGGATTAATTAAAAGCGCGATTGTGCCAATTCACGATGCCATCGCGTTCTCATCGGTTCCGCTTTAATGAGGTGACATATATAGATGTATCGGACTTCCCGGTCATGAGCGATACTCGACGTTTCCCCCGTTCGTTGGCAGATCGCCGAAATTATTTCAAGAATGACGCGAGCCGGCCAATTATTTTCCCCTTTCCTTCCCATTTCTTCGTTTACACGCGCGTCTCGCGGTTTCGCGAAATTTCGAAGCTGCTCCGAGCGAAAGCTCCAAGTTGGACGAAATGTCCAACTGAGCGGGTAACCTTGCGCGAGGAGCTTGCGGAGCGCAAACTTAATCGCAGCGTAAACAGGCGCACCTCATCCACGATATTAATAGTCAGTATTAGGTCGCCTCGGATCGTCCGCCTTGCATGCACGCGCGATCCGTATCCACAAAGCTGACTACTTACTTTGCTTATCGCGAATTTGCGTTCGAGGTTATCGTAGAGGCATTCGATGCTACCGTATACGTACAATGAATCATCATGCTTTGCAAGTATCAAATTTCTGCCCATATAGAATCTAATAACAAATCGCCTTGGCCTATTTCCCTCCGACGGAAGCACGAATTGAAATGAAAGGCGACGTACAATTTTCGTGCAATTATCAGAAATGAATAATTACTGGAAATAAAGCTCGTTTTTTTTTGCAATTTAAGTAAATAGCCGACAGGATTAGTAATCGCGGGCAAGTTGATTTCATTGTGGACTTTACTTTGATAGAATTTTATCTGCAGGAAATAATGTTGAAATAATGCAAAAATGCTGAAAAATTTGCTTTGATGGGGGTTAAGGCAATATTTCTTACGTCAATTAATTCTCGTCTTTGACGAACTTAATTATTACAACAGACAAATGTCTCGAGACGAGCAACAAATAAGTCGTGTTCTATTGCATAATCTCACGTGTCCGTCTTCGGCGACGAAAGTGAGTGGTCATCAATACGTGAATGACTGAGATTTCCTGGGTTGAAAAGGTGCGCGACCGCGACGTTGGAACAAAGAATCCGATGCGGATAATTTGCGAATTAAACGTTCGCCGATGCAAACCTATGTCAGCGTTGTCGATGCAAAACCGTGCTCTAACCGTCGTACCTGACATATCTGACGTAATCGCGACCGCGAGTAAGGTCGAATGAAATCGCAGGCAGGTGCATTCCGCGTAGAAATAATATCTTATTCTGTCGATTTTAGTGATTTCATGCATGCATAAGATCCTTTCAGAGCCTCTATATTTTTATGCAAAAATTGTTTATCATCATCAGGAAGAGTTAAATATAAATTATTTTTATTATTATCGCTCATAGTTGGATTTTCTAACTTAGAAAAAATGTGAAAGAAAAAAATAATTTTCTTGAAACACATTCTATATTTGCGTATAACAATTATAGTCATTATAATAATTACAAGATTTATCTTTATTTATATTTAAAATTGATAAAGTTTATATATCGTCCTGATTTTAAGTTTAATTTTAATTTTTCTTAAAGATTTACTTACAATTTTATTTATTATGCATTAATATAATAAAGTTCTTGCGACGTCCTGAAATTGACTTTGTCTATTTTTTTTTATTAATTTCTATTTTACTTTTTTAACAAGGGAATTTGATGGATTATTTGATTATCATTTCGTTATATTATATGAGGAAATGCCGCTGTCGATGATACGGGTAATAATAAAAATGAAATCAATTAAAAATATTGTATCCTCTATTAGTTTTATTTTAATTAACGTTCAAATTAAAATATTTTATTTCAATTTAAATGCATGTGTTTATACATTCATTTACGTTACATAAAATCTTTTCTTTACAACTGGATTTGGAAACGAAACAGTTTGAAAACATTCGACATTTTATTGTATCGTATAATACTTTTCATTTTAGCATATTGGCCGTAAGCGCTGTTCACGCATATGGGATTACTTTGAGGAGGACGAGATTCCCGTAGATGCAATTCGGGTGATTGGAGAGAAGTGCCTATTTAAAAGTCCAATCTGACCGATATAATAACGACGCAACTCGCAAATCGAGTATTCGCCACGTATGTCGTGCTACCCACTTAACTGCTATTGCGACTATTACGCTCCCCGATCATGTGGCAATGGAAATTGGTACTTTAAATGCGGGGAATATATCGCGTTTTTAATATTAATGGCTTCTTTGACCGTTCGCTGATAACGGTGACAATATGCAGCATGTATTTTTTTCGTATTTTATTTCGTATTTTATGTCAAACTGAAAAATATTATGTTAATAGTTAAGCGAGATAATGTAATTGATATGTATGTGAAAAACTATTGAACCAACGAAGGCCAAGGTTTAAGGCCGATTACACCAATGTCATTTATTCAATTCGCTGGTTCTATCAATTTTACAATTTAATTCTAATGAATATTATTTATTAATATTTAAATCCTAATGAGTATTGTACTGCACTTGATCAAATTCGATACCGAATATTAAGGACGATAGATTTTATAATAATAAAATATTATTTTTCATAATAGCGCATAAATTTGATCTCCTTTTTACTTTTTTTTAAAAGGTAGACACGTTTTTACAATTATTAATTAATAAGAAATAATAATTCATTTTTAAATTAAGATAAAAATAAATAAAATTGACATCTTCAAGATATTAATCGTTTTAACTTATTATTTATAGAATGAATAATTAAAATGTTTATATTATTTGTAAATTATAGCAGCGCTTTCTTTTCTGTTACAATAAGTATGATATAATTCCGTCATAAATTTATAGAACCATTAGCGTCACTTGCACGTCTCATATTAGTGTTACGGGATTAACTTGACGGACCAGCACTTAAGGTCGCTAATCACGATTTTTACGACCGCCTTTATATTTGATCATTAAGCTGGTTTGACTTGAACGCAGGGTTGTTGATGACCTCGATAACGTAACACTGATTTTAATAGCCGGAAAACTTGACAGCACAATACAACATAATTAATGGTTTGATTAATGAATTGATTCTATGGTGGAAAAATTAAGTAATTCAATTAATTCTTATCATAAAACATAATTACGTCAAAACTAAACTTTTTGGGTTGTTGAAATTATGAGATATATCTACAAGTTTTTTTAAATTGTTTAAATGATAAAATATACATTAATAAATAGAATAAAAATATAAAAGGAGAAAAAGCGGAGATGTTTGACATTTAAATGTATTAGTGCATATTTAAATACCAAACATCTCCGCCTTTTTTTCTTTTATATTTTTATTGTTTAGAGAAAAATTAATATTCGATCGTAAAACTCTTTATCATTGATAAAATCGAAAATCATATAAAAGTAATTATAAAAGTTTATCGTTAATAGAGGATTTTTGCAACATGTTCTCTATTTTATTTCATGACTTCATGAAAATAAACCTTCGTATTGAGATCCATGACATTTTGCACGTTATTATTTGTGTTGCAGATCAGGCGCTATCACGACCTTCACCTAGAACTCTATAGACGTTTTCCCGCCGGCTATTCATAGCGATTTCATCGTTTTGCAAAGGCTCAAAATAGTATACCTGCATGCTCCCCTTAAAGCCAAGTTTGATGACTTGCAGCTTCAAGGATCGGAAAGCAGCGATTCAGGTCGCGAGTTTAACGACGGCATTATTATCTACGAGATTCGTCGTCATATGCATTCGCTTCTGATTGGTCGAAGATTAGAGGTTGGTGCGTCGTCGCGTGGACTGTAAATGTTGAACCATTAATAGGCGCTCGCCTTTTGCCGACGTACGAACGTCGTCGGCACGTGTTAACCCCAGAAGAGGTGAGGGTTCGGGGCAAGTAACGCTCAACTTTCAATCATTTTCATACATTACACTTATATTTCATGTAAACTTCATTTAGAAAAAGAGAAGGGGGAGAGAGAGAGAGAGAGAGAGAGAGAGAGAGAGAGAGAGAGAGAGGAGAGAGAGAAGAGAGAGAG